GATATCTCTGATTTCACATTTATTGTCATCTTTCCCTTGCTTTTCTGTTTTGGAAACATTTACCAGCTGTGCTGATCAGACTGCATTTGGTTTCTGTGGAGAAACAGTCTATCTGCAAATCTGTGATCCAAGTATCTGAAAATCTGTGATCCAAGAGGAAGAGAGAGGAATTTGTATTTTGATTCCGAAGTATTTGAAAAACTCGATTGTTTATCTGCTGTGGGCTTTTGTGTTTCCTTATCGTAGGCGGCTTGCAGAAAGGACTACTTTGTGCATTTTTTCCTGAGAGTCTTGATCGATGAAGCACTTTTTCCAAAGAAATAGTCACACATAATTAATATGAAGAAATCAATTGGGCCTATTTATTCTCCTCTCCTTATTGCAAGAATAGATTTGACCTTGGAAGTAAAACAAAGAAGTTTTTTTTAATGGCACGTCACATGGCAGAGTGTCTCAGCTGTATTTGGGGTATGATCAGACGTGTTCCTAATTCTACTGTCACACCCCTGGGGTACCCCACAAGCAAGTTGTAGCAGGACTTTTCAAACAGAGGACAATGACTTGAAATGTATGACACCCAGAGACATTGTCCTAGAATATGACCCTTTTGGATGTCACAGATTGATCTCTGAATTTTTATTCAATTCAATTTTCTTCTTTTCTGAAAGAGACTGGATTTGTTAATGCAGTGACGCATGTTTTAAAATTCCTGGAGTTGTGGTTTTTTTTTAAATTTATGATTTGGTAAAATTTGAGGAACACCGGTGACAGTGTATTACAGAATATGGAAAATGGCTGTGATAATGAAAAATTTTTTTCTTTTTGAAATGCTTTTTTCTTTAATGGACATAAATTATTTTTATAACTGTTAATTTATTTAAAGAACAACTACGTATGAGAAAAAAATATTGACTTATGCTTTGAATGATAAGCTTGGGGTTGGAATGCATGCTCTCAAGTTCATACACCCTCCGTTAAAAACCTTTTTATTTGAAATGGCCTTTGGGGTTCTTTATTGTATATTCTGGTTGTTGCACATTGGTACAAAACTAAAGAGTGATATTTTCTTGAAACCTGACCAGAATTCCCCTTTGTTCAGGCAGCGGGTGATACAGTGATGCCAGCTGCTCATTTATCTGGATCTGTAGTGCCTTGTCTTCATTCTAAGAGGCTAGAATGTCAGCCTCACCAGGAATTTATTTAAAAAAAAAAAAAAAAAAGCCAAACAGGTACAGATGTGCTTAGTCACATGTGTATGCTTTCAAATAATTGTAATCTATAATGTTAGAATGTTAGATGCTAATTATCAGTACTTTCAGCCCTAATGTCTTTGTCACGTTGGGTAGTGTTCCAGTGAACACTAAATGTTTTCCCAATAAATGATTTTCTGTCTGCAAAAGTCTTGTTGGGGCGGGGCTGGGGAGGATATTTTCTCTGATTTTTGAGATACACTTTCATTTACATTTTTCTTACTCTTTGCACCAAAGGTAAAATACTAAAGTCATTCTTCTCCTATGTACCTCTCCTCTTATCGGCCATGTGGCATGGACTTGGATGAGCACTTCCCCGGCTGGTTCAAGACTCGTCTGTGTGTAATAAAGTACCAGAATATTCTTAACGGAAAAGATATTTATAATGAAACGTTGGAAAATGCTTTAGAATATTCTATTTGAGACTATAATACACCGTGCTATTATTGCTCATCACAATGAAAATTTCATTTTTATTTTCCTTGGCTTTTTTCTTGATGGTACAACTGTGGAAGAAAAAAAAAAAATAGGACGTTAAAGCAAAC